TCCAGGTCTATAAAGCCTGAGTCCTGAGCACACTCTTGTACTGCAGTGAGCCTTGGACCCTCTACGCATGGCAGGAGAGAAAGTTGAACACCTTTCATATGCGTTGTCTCTGACAAATTCTTGGCATCACCTGGCAGGACAAAGTTCCAAATAGCGCAGCCTTGGAACATGCTGGAATTTCTAGCATGTATACACTATTGAAACAGTGACATCTACGCTGGCTGGGGCATGTCGTGAGAATGGCTGATGGTCGGATTCTGAAAGATCTCCTGTATGGAGAATTAGTGCAGGGAAAGCGTCTCAGAGGAAGACCACAGCTGCGATATAAGGATATCTGCAAGAGGGACCTAAAGGCCCTGGGAATGGACATTAACAACTGGGAAACCTTGACCTCCAATCGTTCAGCTTGGAGGCTAAAGACGCAGCATGGCCTTCTCCAATTCGAAGAGACACTTGTTCGGCAGGCTGAGGCAAAGAGGCAGTCCCGGAACCAGCAAAATCTGGGGACTGGGCAGGGGACAGAATGTATCTGCCCTCAGTGTGGAAGGGATTGCCACTCTCGAATTGGCCTTTTTAGTCACACTAGATGCTGTTTTAGGACCTCTTTCCAGAGCACGATACCATAGTCTCTTGAGAGTGAAGGATGCCAATGCAAAATGTTTCTTTGAAAATAATATATTCTATTAATACTATTTATATACCTAGGAAATTTGTATTTTCTTTGCTTTAATTGGTTTAGCCCATTAAAATGATTACAAATAATTCCATCATTTGAAATAGAAATGGCAAAAGTTTTGTGACCATCAGTATTCTTAGGGAATATTCTTCCTTTTGTGTCCATTAGGGCCCTTATCTTTTTAAATATTTTAATCAAAATAAAGTAAATGGAAAGCAGCAAACCACATCTAATATGAAACATTGAATTAACTCAGATTTTTCATTTTCCATTTTTACTTGGCTCAAAAGGGTCTTTATTTTGGGCTAACAAAGTGGTAATATCTTCCAATCACAAACTTAATATTTTGACCTTCTGTGATGATGTCACTGCTAACATTCCTGCTATTCCTGTAATATAATCACTGCACAGATTACATATATATGGGGACAATATACAGCCTTGTCTCCCTTCATTCCCTATTCTGAACCACTCTGTTTCTCCAAATCAAGTTCTTACAGTAGCTTCTTGTTCACTGTCAACATTCCTCAGAAGAAGAATCAGATATACCAGTCTTAGCTTTAAATATGTTCCTATATTAAACCATTAGCTTTAATTTGTTCCAATTCTAGCATGAATGATACAGTCAAATGTCTTCCTTCAATGAAGCAGAGAGAAACTTCCTTCTGGCAATTTTGTTATCCATTGGATTTTACTGTCTGATTTTTGGAATTTGCCTCTGTCTGGAATTTTCTCTCTCCATTTATTCCTATGTTCTTATTTGAAAGATTCTAATCAAGTCACGTGAGGAATTCATGAAATAGTTTGATTTGATTTCCTTAATATGCAAAGAGTTTTTTCCCCCTGCAATCTCAAGACAAAAGCAATTAATTTCTTGGGTTTTAACACAGAGCTCTTCCCATTTAATTGCTTCTTCTCCAGGTTTAGACAGTTCAGCTGAAATTTCACTTCTCCCTGGGTGTTTTTCTTTTTGGCTAATGCTTGCTCAAATCAGTTCTTGAATATATTTCCCTCTTTCCATCATTCTTTAATCCCATTTTAACTGATTTTATCTTCCTTTAACTTCATTTGCCTCTAGCTGATCTTTTCAGTGATTACTCTTGAGTACTCTTATTTTAGCTCTAAATTTTCCTGCAAATTCTCTGATGTTCTTTTTAAAAAATCTCAACTTTTCTTGTCTACCACATTACTTATTGATATTCTTGATTTAAATACCTGTCCTTGTTCTTTCTGCTTGTCAGAATTTGGCATTCAGTTGTCATCTGTCCTTTTTGTTGCCCAAAGCTCCCTCTTTCCCAGGCCAGCAATATTAATTTTTGGTTCTTTTCTTCTCACAATAGTTTTTGTTTGTGTGAGCTTATAACCTGTTCCCACAGCCATTCAGGTTCTATTTTAAATAAATTGAGCATTTATCTTCTTTTATTTTTTAAGTTTAGCCCATAAATTTGACTAATTTTTCATGGTATGTTATTTTCCACAATATGTACTACAAACACCTCAGTTGATTGGATTTTATTTGTCCATCTTTAGTTTCCAATTATGTAACATATTTATCTCTCTATATTCATGGGTATCCACAGGCTCTTGCTGTTTTTGCAAAATAACAAAAGTAATGTTGTGCAGAGGGATGTGGTGGCTCAGTGGCTAAGACACTGAGCTTGTCGATTGAAAGGTTGGCAGTTCAGCAGTTCGAATCCCTAGTGTTGTGTAATGGGGTGAGCTTCCATGACTTGTCCCAGCTTCTGCCAACCTAGCAGTTCAAAAGCACGTAAAAAATGCAAGTAGAAAAATAGGGACACCTTTGGTGGGAAGGTAACAGCATCCCGTGTGCCTTTGGCATTTAGTCATGCCGGCCACATGACCACAGACACGTCTTCAGAAAGGCTGGCTCTTTGGCTTTGAAACGGAGATGAGCATCGCCCTCTAGAGTCGGGAACGACTAGCACATATGTGCGAGGGGAACCTTTACTTTTTTAATGTTGTGCCATTACACTATAGGTTCTGACCTTTTTCAATGTTCATATTATATAATACATACGTACATGAAAAAGAATAATGCAAACTAAAATTGAGTGAATTTTTACTTTAAAAAAAAGAAACTGAAGGAAAAATTAAAGGGGCAAAAAATTAAAAAAGTAGAAAAATAAAGCAGAAATATGTGATTTCCAATTTTCTTTACAGCATTTATAAGTACAATTATATATTAACCTCTCTATCTAAGGTTCCGTTGTGACTGTCTTATTTCTATAATCTACATTATCTAATTATTGAAACCATAAATCATAAGCTTGTTTTTTTTTTCTTTTTTATGCAAAAAATCCATAAGGGGCTTCCAGTCACCAATAAACCTATTGTCTTTTCTTTTAAACCTTCTTGTTGTTCATATTACTAACATAGTTTTGAAATACTATTATACATGTAATTTTTCTGTGCATCATTTTATAACAATTATCTTTGATTATAACATATTGTAAATTCCAGTCCTTTCATCCACATATCTTCCCATTGTTCCAGCTACATATTATAATTAAAAAGTTAACCCATACATTCCTCAACTTGTTCTTCTTCTGTTTCAAATTTTAATACATTCTAATAACAGTTTACACATTTCAGCAATTCCATGTTAATTATTTGTACACAATTCTGTTTTAAAATCAGTCTTGCAGCGTTCAATACCTAAATTGAGAGCCTTGGTGGCACAGCAGACTAAAGTGCTGTTAAGTAGCACCAGCTGCCTGCAATTACTGCAAGTTCAAATCTCACCAGGGTCAAGGTTGACTCAGCCTTCCATCCTTCTGAGGTAAGTAAAATGAGGACCCGGATTGTGGGGGCAATAAGCTGACTTTCTATAAAAAAGAACACCGCTTAGGGGGGGCCCAAAAGCCCAACTAAGCAGGTATATACAAGAGTATGAAGGTTATTGCATTGTAAGCCGCCCTGAGTCTCTGGAGAAGGGCGGCATATAAATCAAACCAATAAATAAATAAATAAATAAATAAATAAATAAATAAATAAATAAATAAATAAATAAATAAATAAATAGTTTTAAATCTACTTTAAACCCTTCTGGTAACTATTAAAAAGAAAACCATAGGCAACTATGTCCCTCAGCCATTACCGGTAGCTGTTCTATGATTTTATTTTATGTCCCCTTGACATAATTATAGTATTTCATGATATATTAACCATTTTTGTTTTGCCTGCATATCACAACATAATCCAATTGCCTTTTGAAAAAAAGGGGGGAAAAAAGCACCTTTGGGACAACCATGACCTGGATAATTGAAAATCTCCAAAAACATCATAATGTGTATACATGCATGCATTGTGATGGGGTGATGCTGCTTTCACACTATACTTCATTATGTAGGTGTATATTTCACAATCCTCTTTTCAGCTTCGTGACATGATGAAGCAGCACTTTTGAGAGGTATTGTTCCATCTCAGTAATGACCCTAATTTACGGTCTTCAGTGGAATGAGGTCAATTTGAAGATACAAGTGTAGAATCTGAAATAAAGTTGCGAGTGCATGTGCACCATTTTCATTTAGTATAGACTGCAACAGGGAAAAAAAATGATTGGGCTGCTCAAGAGTTTTTATCTATACCTTTTGCAGAATCTTTCTATTAAGATAGCTCTGTTTCAGAGGAAGGGTTTTTGTCTTTTTTTGGTGCTTTCATCTAAAGTGACTGGGCAATACTAAGTTATAGCTAGATGTTATAAAAATAGAATGTGTTATATCTTTTTAGTTATACTCAATGACTTGGATCAAATTTTTTAGAGTACAAAGCTAGCTTTTTGGTTGACCTGTCTGCTGCCATAGTTTTTTCTATTTTCCATTTGATGTCTGCTTTATCTTCTGTACCTGTTTTTGTATTTCTCCTAAGTCTTAAGTAAGAAGAGATTGTTTTTACAGGCGAGGTCATCCACCTCAATACAATTTGTGTGTGAATGCATGTACACTCAGCATTGTTAGTATTACTACTGTGTTTTCCCTGAAAATAAGACCCTTTCTTATATTTATTTGAACCCTGAAATAAGCGTTTGGCCTTATTGCCATGTGCTCAAAGGCCCAATTGGGTTTATTATCAGGGGATGTCTTATTTTGGGGGAAACAGGGTATTAGTATAATTCCAAGGGAATTTTGTTTCATAAACCCAAGAACCAGGAATCAATTTTAACTTTAATTAGAAACTAGCTGAGGTTGTAGTAGAGGGAATATCACTTGATTGGCAGAGATGGATGCATGTCACAAAAGTATTATGTCATCAAAAGTCTCTCAGCATCTGGCAGGAGGTTCCACCAGACTGCCTGTACCCCACCAGTGGAATAATGAACCAAGGAATGGCAGGCTGAACCATTAATAGGTGAGAAGATCATGTCCTAATCCCTTTCTTATCTCAGGTACAGCCATAGAAGGAGTGAACTAATCCATTATCACAACCTGCCTTCGAATTTTCTCAAAAGTCTTTTTCTGTCAAAAAGATTTCTCTTTTTCTCTTTTTATGTTTTCTTGAACTTCTTGATTTGTGATTTTTTTAAAAAAATCCTTGATCTACTCATGTAAGTTTCATCAAAATTTTCTTGTACTTTGATCTTTTTTTAACAAAAACCTTCTTGTTCATTAATCTAAGGGAAATGGGTAGAAAAAACATTTGCAAAAAAACTTTCTGTATGCTAGCAGCTGAGAGCTTAGATGAGAGTTTAGACCATTACAGTTAATTTCTACTTTTTGACAACAATGGCAGGAATGGGAAACCCCCCCCCCACAATACTCCCTGCTTCCTCTCCTGTGAATAGATCTTCCTTTTCAATTATTTTCATTAGACACAAAACCTTTATTTTTGTGAGAACAGTTAAAGACTTTTATTGCTGTTATTATTATTAGAATATATGAACCATCTGAACATTTCAGTGTATCAGAAAAAGTTTGAACTTCATCCTTCGTCCTCTCCTTTTTTAAAATTAAATTATTCTAATTATTTGTTAAATTCATATTCCACCTGGACTCCCAATGACTCTGGGAAATCACAAATAAGGAAAATACAACAATAGACAAGAAGGGAGAGTGAAGGTGGAAAGAGTGAGCAAAAACTGATTGGGAGCAAAATAAATAAACCTGCATAGTTCAAAGAAGGACTTTATTTCTTCTCACCAAATAACCAGGTCTTCAAGGCTCTTCAGAACATCAGCAGGATGGAAGCTACCTGTTTCTTTTAATAGGCACCAGGTTAGAAACCAGGGGATCATGAATTCTGATCCCACTTTAGGCATGAAAGCCAGCTGGGTGACTTTGAGACAGTCAGTCTCAGCCTGACTCAACTTATAAGATTGTTGTGGAGAAAATAGGAGGAAGGACTATTGTGTATTGTTCCGTGCCTTGAGTTATTTTTAAAGATAAATAAAGGCAGGAGATAGATAGATAGATAGATAGATAGATAGATAGATAGATAGATAGATAGAAAAGATAGATAGATAGATAAGATAGGCAGGCAGGCAGGCAGGCAGGCAGGCAGATGATGATAGATAGATAGATAGATAGATAGATAGATAGATAGATAGATAGATGTAATATATTGTAAATGCCATCCCTTTCTTCTCAATAAACATTGCTAAAGAGATACTAAAGAACATGGTTAGAAAATGGGAGCACCTCACTTCCTTTCTTGCAATATTCTCAGTGCAAAACCTTGAGCAAAAACCAGGAGGCTTTATCTCTGATGGGTGGACTAACTAATTCATATCTATTGTTTTCTAGTTTGGAATAAATAACATTCTTTCCTCATTATTTTGTGTCAAGACACCAGTCTTGCAAGGCCATTGATATTAAATAGGGGGGAAAACCAGAGGGGCCTTCGCACAGGTCCGTCTTGTGCGCCAGTTGCGCCCGTTCCTAGACCGGGATGCCCTCACCATGGTGACTCACGCCCTTGTTACCTCTAGGTTGGACTACTGTAACACCCTCTACATGGGGCTGCCCTTGGGATGTGTCCGGAGGCTTCAGCTAGTCCAAAATGCAGCCGCGCGGGTAGTTACAGGGGTGTCTAGATACTCCCGTGTAACACCTCTCCTGCGTGAGCTGCACTGGCTACCGGTGGCACTCCGGATACGTTTCAAGGTGCTGGTGCTCACCTATAAAGCCCTTCATGGCTTAGGCGGGTACTTGCAGGACCATCTCCAGCCGTTCTCCCATTGTCCTGTGCGCTCTCACAGAGTCGGCCTCCTCAGGGTGCCGTCGGCCAAACAATGTTGGCTGACGACCCCCAGGGGGAGGGCATTCTCTGTGGGAGCCCCGACCCTCTGGAATGGATTGCCCACTGAGCTCAGGACAGCCCCCGACCTTCTTTCCTTCCGTCGCGAGCTGAAGACGTGGCTCTTCCGCCAATTAAACTGATCCGTTTGGGGGTACACTGGTATAATTTTAAATCGTTTTTTAATTGGGTTACTGATTTTAATTTGTTATTGTATTGTGATTTGTATTGAAGTTGTCATTTTGTAAGCCGCCTTGAGTCCCTAGGGAGAAAGGCGGCATATAAATAAATAAATAAATAAATAAATAAATAAATAAATAAATAAATAAAATGTCAGCCTTCACCACATCCTTCTCCCACCTCTTTTTTTCTTCCTAAACATTTATAATGTTATAATGACTGAAACACATTTGCAAACTCTATAATATTCTTTCCTTGGGAGTTATTTCTAACTAGCTTTCATTTGCAATTCTGCATTCCCATTGTGAGGTGGTTACAGAGGAATAGTGTTTTAAACCAAACTTTTATTGCTTCAAAATGTAAAAAGGTCACTAAAATGTTTTACTCCTTAGTCAGTGCCTCAGGGGAAAGCCCAGCTCTTATCATTTGTCAGTAATGAATACTTTAAGATGCTCCATATTATGGTCAGACAAGAATGCCTTTTACCTGGTCTATAGGGAAATTCATATAGCTAGTGAATGAAGCAAGAGATGCTTGAAAACTCTCTCGGAAGCTTTATCACAATACATCACTGAGTACAAATTTCTTTACTCGTGACATAAAGATGCATGTTGTAGATGTAAGCATGAAGCAAAATATATGTAATGGAAAGGAAATATGGCTTGATGGAAACCAAATTTTGGCACATTTAGCCAAATCAGAATTAATTTGGATCAATATCTTAAAAATATGCTACTTAAATGGTAGCTCCGCTGAGGATTGAAATGTATATACCTAGATATGAAATAGTCTATAATTGAATCAAAAAAATTATGCACACATCAGAGAGATAGATACATACTTCTGAAATCCCAGCTGTTCAGGACTAAAAATCGTTTTCTTTCCCTTTCTTTCTACAAAGCAACTTCAACTGGAGAAAAAGAAAGAAAGGTCACAGCCTTGAGTAAACTTTCCCAGTCTTTCATCCCATTTTATGACATTTTCATTACCTTTGTTCAGATAGCAAAGTTATTGAAATGTGTGTCACGCAGCTACAATGCAGTATACAGGGAGCTTGTATGTCAAGGGTTTGGTTAACATTATTACTTCCCCAGGATATAATCGCAAGCTTTAATACATATTTATTTTATCCCAAGACTAGGAAATAATATGATCTGAAAGCTGATCCACCAAGCTTGCACACTCTCGGGATGAAATCCTGGTGCATTTTCCTCTCTGCAGAATGCATTACCTCTTCTATGCAGTGCTTATGTCTGGTCCCAGAAGACCACCAATTCATGAATGTTTAAAGACTGCCCTGCCTGTCCAGTGCTATATGAAGATATTATGAAGAAAGTGATGGTAACGACTCTTTCTTTCTTTCTTTCTTTCTTTCTTTCTTTCTTTCTTTCTTTCTTTCTTTCCAAAGAAAAATTGACTTTTAATCATTTATTAAAGTGCTTATATAATATTATGCGACAATTTCAGCATCGGTTATATCGAGCACATTCAGCATCGAGTGTCTGCAGTTCCTTATGTTTGCAGAAACATATCCTGTTCTTCTCAAAGTCACGTTGTTGTTGTTATTTTTCATTGGAAGTTCTGAACTTCATTTGTGATTAACTTGATTACTTGACTCAATGGGATATCAGTCTCAACTAATTTCAGTTAAGAAGAAAAATAAGCCAAAAGGGTTAGATGAAAGTGTGATGCTCCACCAATTGATCCACAGGTACTGTATTTTTCGGAGTATAAGACACACCGGAGTATAAAACACACCTTAGTTTTTGGGGAGGAAAATAAGAAAAAAACTGATTGGTGAGTGGATCGGCTTCCCGGAATACCCACAATCAGCTGTTCCCAGAGGTGAATTTTAGCAACGGGTTCATTGGTTGTGAGCTCTGTGCGTTGCTTTTTTTTTTTTTGCTTTATTTTCTGCCTCTGAAACTTCTGAAACTCTGTTTCAGAAAAAACTTTTTTTGTGCCTCTGAAAGCCTCCGAAACAGAGCTTCAGAAAAAAAAAAGGCTTTTTTTCTGAAGCTTCTTTCAGAGGCTTTTATTCTGAAGCTTTTTCAGAGGCTTTTATTATGAAGGACTATCTGTACTCTGTTCAATCTCCTTTCTTTGGTATTGGTATGTAGATTAACCTCTTCCGATCTGTTGGTTATTGTGTCATTCTCCAGATTTCTTAGCATAGTTTGGTTAGAAGCTTTACTGATTCTTCTTTTGTTGCTTGCCATATTATTTTAGATAAAAGCCTTTCAGAGGCTTTTTTCAGCTTCTGAAATCTCCATTTGTGAGGCTGGGCGGGACTACATTTGGAGTATAAGATGTACCCAGATTTTCACCCTCTTTTTTGGGTGAAAAAGGTGCGTCTTATTCTCCGAAAAATACGGTAGGTAGATTTTTTTTTTATTTCCTGTAGTGGAATAAACTGTTCTCCTTCTTCATAGAGTAGGAGTTTTGTGATATGGATTCCAATCTAGCATAAATAATTGATAAATAAGATAGTGGTGAAATGCTCCTTGGATTGCCACTGGTTCTCTGCCCGTGGATGCGTGGTGCGCACCAAAAGCACTCTGTGCGTGCAACTGTACAGCACATGCCAAAAGCACATTGCATGAGAATGCACAGTATGTGCCAAATGTGCACTTCACACAGAAAAGGAAGACTTCACTAGGTAAGTAGAACAGCGAGGGGGTGGAACAGCTGTGCTGCATGATTTAGCTTTGCTAGAAAGTAGGATTTCCTGCTTTCTAGTGAAGCTAAACTGTGCAGCACAGCTGATCGTCAGAAATACTGGTTCGGATGAACTGGTAGCTTTTTTTAACTACTGGTTCCATCAAACCAGTAGCTTTTTTAACTACTGGTTCGGGTTAACCGGTAGCTAACTACCAGTTTGCCCGAACTGATAGTTTTTATCACTACTGGTTTGCCCGAACTGGAGTGAACTAGTAACAGTTCACCCCTGTAACTAACCTTTCTGCCTATAATGCCCTTTATAAAATCAAAAAGTGCTTCTTCACCTGTTCAGCCTATGCTTGATACTGGTGATTCCTAACTTCTTCAACATTTGGGTCTGTGGTAGGCATAGCACTCATACTGGATTGAGCCAATATTTCCTCAGTGTTAACTGTTTCTTCATAATTTCTCTCTGGACAAGGGGAAGAAATTGAGACTGAAGTCAAATGCTCCATACAATTACTCCTTGCTCTCACAAGACAGCAATCTCCAATAGATTTACAGTTTTGGTAGATGACAGAATAGCTATCTTGCTCAACTCATAGTCAGTGTCCTTAAAGATGAAGAGTTCACATATTCTTTTTTTTCTAATCACTTTTAGAAACTGTTTTTTAAATTTCTTTTTAAGTTCTAAGAATCTTTAGATCAAAAGGTTTTATAGCATTGGGTATGTTTCCTTCAATCCTAAATTTTAAATCCAAGTTTAAGGGATAACATTAAAAAAACAACAACAAAAGTTTGATTAAAACCTTGATTTTAGAAATGGACGGCAGGTCCAGATAAATTTGAAACAAGGTTTTGGAATTAATTATAAAGAATCCTTCCTATTGGGAAATGCTTTTCTTTTGAATTCTTAAAAAAATAAGACTTTAAAAATTGGACATTAAAGATTATAATTCAAGAAGAAAAGCACTTTAAATTGATAAAAATAGAATGGAACAAAGTATTTGAAAATTGGATATATTGAAGATATTTTGGAATAGTAGACACAAAAATTATGATAGGAACAGCACCAGCAGTGCCCAATTTCAAAGTTCTAAACAATTAACTTCAGTAGTTTAAACTAGATATTAAATAGCATTGTGTATAATGCAGAACCTTTTGGACATGATAGGTCTTTGGCATAGATGTTAAACAATAGTCCTCTAAAAACACCATTTATTTATTATGTATGTATGTATGTATTTATGTATTTATTTAAATTTATTAATATGTCCTCAGGGAGAAGGATATTGCAAGGATCCCAAGATAAAGACTCATCAGAAGGTTAAGAAGGATACAATAATTAATAATAGAAAAAGCTACCGAAAGGTCCAAAAGAACTAACAAAAATCATTCTCACAGCAACCTCTTTTCAGTGTAGATCATCTATTAAAGCCATCAAAGCAGTATCAGTAACATATCCCATATGAATGCTAATTGTAATGCATCCAGATAATTAGTTTTCTCCAAAAGGATTTGAAACTATGGAACCCTGTTTCTCAATCACCTTCTCCAAAAATGGACTATTTGAGACTGATCTATAATTACTAAGGTTTTCTGGGTCAAGGGAGAATATTTTTTTTTCAAAAAAAGTTCTTATAATTGCCTCTTTTAAGCAGATGGTAACAATATATCCCACATTTCATGATGTACTGATTACTTCCCTTAACCATGAGATTAATCCCAAATTGGTTAAATTTAATAACAAGTCAAAGAGGCATCTGCCCATATATCACTGGATATCCTCAAAAACTGCACATTGAAAAGAGTTCCAAGAACAGGAGAAGCAGATGCCAGGGTTACTTCTTTATGACCTACCCAAATACTAAAATCCAATTTAAGGTCAATCCAATTTACTCAGTTGGCAAAAAATAATGAAAAATGCTGAGGGAGGCTTTGATTGTTCCAGTTTTCCCTCTTCAACAACTGGATGGAGGAAATACTTCATTGCTCCGAGCTCCGGAACAAGCTGATTTGATTCTATTAACGGAAAACAATTATTAAAGGAATATAGCTTAGGAGCAATAAAATATCCTGTTTTCTCACCTAAGTAGCTCCAGACAAGATTGAGACTGATAAGTATGGGAACAAAATGGAGGTAAGAGGGGATTGGGTGTGTGAGATGATGAGCATACTGCATTGCAAATCAAAACACAAATCAGTTTTAAAGGTAGTCACTAGCACTGTTCAAGCTAATATAAAATAAGATGCAAGTGTCTGGGATGCAGCAAGTTAGATCGGCTAGTGTCCTCTTGTATTTTTCTCCTTACCTCTACAGCCTTTCACACATCCCACACTATTTTAGTTACTATCAGTCCACTGTCATTGGTAATCCACTGTGATTCATTATAACTTTAGCAATAGCAATAGCATTTAGACTTATATACCACTTCACAGTGCTTTCCAGCCCACTCTAAGCTATGTTTTTACATAGTCAACATATTGCCCCCAACAATCTGGGTCTTCATTTGGAAGGATGGAAGGATGAGTCAACCTTGAGCTAGTAAGGCTCGAACTGCTGGCAGCCAGCAGCTAGCAGAAGTAGCCTGCAGTAGTTCATTCTAATCACTGAGCCACCATGGCTCCTTCGGTATATATGGTATATGGCATACCTAACTAAAATTGAGGCATCTAAATATTAGAGAGCCTTTACAGTGACATAATGTCATGCCCTCACTTTAGCTGTCCTTGAAATTCCTTATGCCAAGAGAAAGAAATGTCTCTGTGACTTTGGAAACACAGAAACAATACAGCTTAGGACATGACTGGTGGTAATTCCTCAATTTGGATTCCAGGATGAAATTCAAACTGGCAAGATGTAAGTCAGCTTGTATCTTACTGTACTATTGCATGACCATAATAATAATTCTAACAATAATCTTACACATAATGTCATGAAGTTCTCATCTTACTTAAATAATTAACGTGTGTGGGGGGAAGAGGGGTAGATTTAATTTATTTCATCTCATCTCATCTTATTAATGTTTATGGACACAATTGTTTATTAGTCCTTATAAATTTGTAAATAACTCATTTCTCAAAGATATTGTGGTTCACTGGTTCTCATGTGTCATTGCTTAGTGTATAACTGTTAATGAAGATCTAGCTAGATTTTCACTGCAGCAATAAAAGTGCATAATAAGATATTTGGTTCAACGAAATAGCACCAGTCTCTAGGCAGTGTGAAACCATTATTGGTATGCATCAATACTATTAGAAAATAACAATTTTTAATGAATAATTTTGTTCAAATTCATCTCCGAAGAAGTTGTCTGCTTTTTTGTTATGACGATTAGCAGATACTTTGTGAGTATCTCAAAAAATCTCACAAACCTATAGCATGTAATAATTACTAAACTATCCTGTATACTCTTTAGACTTTTTCTAAATCCTCATTATCTGAAATATTTAAACAAATCCTATATGTACAAAATTCACATATATATATATGTTTTACATATATATGCCTGTGCAGCCGGCGCTCGAGTCGGACAGCAAGGAGGCTGAAGAGGATGTGTTACCAAAGGCAGAGACTCAGCCAGGGCCTTCAGAACCTCCAAAGGCTCCTTCAAGTGAAGAGAGTGAAGTGGAGGAGCCTCTTCTCAATGCTCCGACACACAGGGCTGCCAAAAGGCAGGAGTAGCTACTCAGGAGGAGGTCTTCTCGAGAGTAAGGCTTGGGGTTAATTGGCCACTCCCTTAGCCTATTTAAATTCGCACACAGAGAGCAAATGTTGCTGGAAACAATGTTTTGGTCCTACACAGAGCAATTTGAGAGTGAGTTTTTGTTACAACTTGGTTTCTGGTCTGATTGCCAACCCTTGTCGGACTTTGTTTAATCTCTGTAATTCATAGCAGGCTGATAAGGACATTTGTGGTTAAAGCCTGCATTTTGAAAGGAGTATGTTTGTATTAAATTGAGTTTTTGGAGCTGTGTGTGTGTGCTACACTTCTTGGGACCCGTAGCTGGGGCAGAATAGGCTTTTTAAAAAATACCTCTCTGCCAGAGGAGTTGCGCGTTGTTTTTATTGGGTATAGTTAAGGGTTTTACACGGGGTGAAACAAAACTGATATTGTATATGATAACAGCAGCAAGATTGTTGATAGGTAAATACTGGAAGAATGAAGCTTTGCCCACTATCGAGGAATGGACTTTGAAGATGGCTAGTTTTGCAGAGATGGCGAAGATTTCAGCATATTTAAAAGATTGTTCACAAGAGACTTATGAATGGGAATGGAAAAGGTGGATAGAATATGTTCAGAACAAATACCAAACTAGAAAGTATCAAATAGCTTTTATTTGAAAATAATGTATTAGAAATATTTTAATGTAAAGAGACAAAGAGGAAAAATTATACAGGGGGAGGGATGGGTTCAAGCTTATATATCAGTGTTATTAGTTATGAGTATATAATAGGGAAGTCTGGGGGGGGAGGGTTAGGGAGGGTTAGGGAGGATGGGAAGTTTGGGGAGGGGGGGTGGGAAAAAAAAGGGGTGAAAATGTAATTGTAAAACTTTTGCAATAAAAAAAAAAATACCTCTCTGCCGATCAGGCAACTCAGCTGGGATCGTCAGAGAGGCTTTTTAAAAAATGCTTTGAAAAGCCTCTCTGATGATCAGGCAACTCAACTGGGAGTTTACCACCTCTTCGGCAAAGAGGTTGCAGAAAAAAATGCTTTGAAAAGCCTCTGACGATCCCAGCTGAGCTGCACGATCATCAGAGGCTTTTTTTTTTAACTTTTAAAAACATTTTTTCTTCGGAAGAGGTTGTAGAAAAAATGCTTTTAAAAGTAAAAAAAAAACCTACTCTGATGATCGTGCAGCTCAGCTGGGCATCGTGTGTGTGAGTGGGGGACGACGCAGGGATTTTTGCTACCGGTTAAATGAACCACCCACCGCCATCACTACCAGATCGGGTGATCCGGTCCGAACCGGGAACGTTTCATCCCTGCCCTTGGGGAGTGGGGATGGATTGGGATACTATCCTGTGTTTTTTCAAAACACAATTACGGTTAGCTAGGAATACATTAAAGAACCTGGTGTATTAATCACCATAAATAGCATTCTGATTGCAGGAGAGGTTGTCAGCTTTAGAAAGTTCATATGCATTGTTACTATTTGGGTTTTAAACATAATCAAACTAGTCTTTTTTGGCACTGAAGCTGTGTGAAAAATAAATGATAAAATTGTTTCAATTTTTTAAAAAAGGAATTAAAAGGCCTGGTAATATGCAGACCTTTATAAGAGACAGTTCCATATCCCAACAGAGTCAGTGAATTATTTGTCTAATACCATCAGTTCATGTTGCAATGAATTTTATATTTATATATATATATATATATATATATATATATATATATATATATATATATATATATACACACACATAGGCCCAGGTTTAAAAACAAAGGCTGTGTAATTACTCACAGCTGTATAGTTTGTAGTTGTACTATGAAAAAAATAAATCTCTGAAAAATCTACTGTTAATGAGAATGGACTGCATAAGTGAACCAGATATACAAAAAAATGGGATAAAATATTAGTGTAGATTTGTGGCAGGTATCATCAATGTATTTCTCCAACATTTAACTTTCTGAACTTAAAGATAACTTTTTTTGTGCAGCAAGCCTTCTCTAATTAAAGAATGTAACCCCTATAACAACTGACTATTGACATCTTTTTGTGAAAAGTTGCCTGAAGTTCAAATTTCACTCTCTGATAGAAGCAACTCTTTTTTTCCATGAATGGATTTTAGTTGAATGCTGAACATAAAGTTGAAAAAGTTTGCATTAGCTGAATGCCACGGGGATTTGAACTGCCTGTAGACCTTTAACAAGGTACCAATGTTCTGACTAAAATAGAAAGCTTTCCTCATCCATATAATACCCTGAAAATGGCGTGATTGGGTGACAAGAAGTCAAACTGGAGTACAAGGTGTTTCTACCTTTACTGGCTCATATTAGGAACTCTTACAAAAATGACAGAAATTCGACTGAAAGACTTTCCCTATCATTTTATTCTTACATTGGAGTAATACTGTACCAGCAGCAGATTGATGGCAGCAGAAAGCAAGGGAGGCTAATTTCAAATGGGAAATTTCAAATTCAGGAGTGGGGTTTTTTGGTGGGAGGAAAGAACATGGAGACCCAGCATTTATTTTAATGGTTTAGGAGTAGTGAATGAAGAGACTATGATGGTAGAGGACTGCACATGTTCCAAGTCACCATTTTTTTTTTTTGAACAACACAGTACATCACAATATCATCATAAACTGTATCCTGACAAGAGAACCTTTATGCCGTATAAGTATGGAGGTTAGGTGACAAGCTGTTCCCTGTCCACTTCTCTGTTTCTTGCTTGTGGATATCAAGCCATGTTGTCATCCTGTTCTTCTCTGCTTCTCTCTGCCAAGG